GATCTTTTCTAGTTCTTTCATAGCCACTCTCCCCATTCTTAGCCTTCTGATTTCCTGGCTGTAATCTCCATTTCTATCAATGTTTAATTCCAGGTATGGAAATTCTTTTGCTGTATTTCTATTTCTTCTTTGTCTAGGTTGAACTTGTGAAGGTCCTCAGTGGTCATTATTTTTGTTTTCTTTATGTTCAGCATTAAGCCTGCCTTTGCACTTTCTTCTTTGCTCTTCATTAGTAGGTGTTCCAGGTCTGTGAGGTTTTGTGTTAGTACAGTCACCCTTCCATCCTCGCAGACTTCAAGTCCACGGTTTTACATATTCATGGAGGGGTGACCATTTAAATCAATGGAGCATACTCCCACGCATGGTCTATGGGGCATGAATATTTGCTAATCTCAGTCTTCACAGGGTGTGTGTGTCTGGAACGGATCCCCCGCAAAAACAGAGGGCCAACTGTATTATGGTGTCATCTGTATCCAGGGGTAGGCAACCTTTCCCCTTTAAGGGCCGAGGGACTTCAGCTCCCAGAATCCCAGGACATGAGACTATTGACCAACATGGCTGAGGTTTCTGGGAGCTGAAGTCCCTCGGCCCCTAAAGGGGAAAGGTTGCCTACCTTTGTTTAGACTGTTGATATTCCTTCCTCCTATTTTCACTCCTCCTTCTTCTGTGTCCAAGCCTGCTTTTCTTATAATATGTTCTGCACACAAGTTGAACAGATAGGGTGAGAGGATGCAACCTTGTCTGACCCCTTTGTCAATTGGGAACCATTCTGTTTCTCTGTGTTCTGTTCTGACAGTAGCCTCTTGTCCTGAGTACAGATTCCTCATCAGGACTATCAGATGTGTTAGCACTCCCATGTCTTTAAGGGCATTCCATAGCCTTTCATGGTCTATGCAATCACAGGCTTTGCTATAGTCTATAAAGCACATGCTAATTCTCTTTTGGAATTCCCTGGTGCACTCCATTAGCCATCGTATGTTTGTAATGTGGTCCCTTGTGCCTCTTCCTTTCCTGAACCACTTGAACCTCCAGGATTTCTCTCTCCATGTATGGTTAGTCTATATTGCAGAATTTTGAGCATGATTTTGCTTGTGTGGGAGATCAGTGCTATGGTCCTGTAGTTGCTGCAGTTTCTTGTGTCTCCCTTTTTGTGGATGGGGATGTATATTGATCACTTCCAGTCTGTTGGCCATCATTTGTTTTCCATATCTGTTGACATAGGTTGGTTAGCACTAGAGTTGACTCTGTCAATGTGGACTGCAGCAGTTCAATTGGAATATCATCTGTTCCTGGTGATTTGTTTTTTGCTATTTCTATTATTGCAGTTTCCACCACACTTTTTAGAATTGCTTCCTTGCAGATATTTAAAGATGGATTTCATCCCACGTCTCAGTCTTATATTTTCCATGCTAAATATACACAACTCACACAGCTGTTCCTCATAGGGCATAGTTTCCAGACTAGCTTTTTTTAACCTGATGCCCCTTCTAATAATAATAATAATAATAAGTTTTATTTATAGCCCGCCCCTCTGCTAGGCAATCGGGGCGGGTTACAGCATTTTAAAACAGCACAGTTAAAAACATTCCCTCCAAACATGATCCCTCCACTCCAACATGTTTGGACTATAGCTCCCATAATTCCCTACCCTGATGACTAGGAGAGTCTAGGAGTTGTAGTCTTAGCAGAGGTTATGAGAATTGTAATCGATTACATCTGCAGGGCACCAGTTTGAGGAAGACAAGTGTGAATTGTCTCCACTGAAAAGTATTGTGTTTTTAGTGATGGGAGGCAATATTAAAGCTCTGTGGTGTGTGATCTGTTACAGTAGCTCATTGACACACACACCAAACACAATGCACTGGAGGTTTTCTCAAAGTGATCTTGAAATCCTTTAACTTCTCTGTTTTAGGTTTTAAGGAAAACGTTGCCCCACCTGGGCCTGCATCCCCCCCCCTTTTTTTTTAACAGGAGAGAAATGAAAACGTCCCTCTCCTTCCTTTAAGCTACTCTCAGGGCTCTTTCACACTATTATTTAAACCAATTTGCAGATTGGCTTAAACTGGTTTATATGTGCCTTGTTCACACTTGAATCAGTTTCAGATCCTACTGTATTTGGTCTGAATCCGGGTGAATTGGCGCAATTCCAAAAGAATTGGTTCTTTCGGAAACAGATCTTTTGCCGTTTCTTTTGAAAAAAATTGGGTCGCAACTTGTTGAACAGGTGTGAACGCGTTACCGACCACATCTGAGGCACACTGGAGGGAAGAGACAATGGGCAGAGAGGATGGGCAGAGGGGTGGTACCCATCCCACCACAGGTCTTGGCAAACCATCATTTCCCTCCCTCTTAGCACTGCCATGGCCTGTTGGGGGGCATGGTGTGGTGTGGTGTTTTTTTAAAGATTTTTTTTGACAGTTTCTGCAAACTGTCGCATTTGCGTGGGTTCACGGGAGGGAGTCACGGGTGCCGTGGCAGGAATTCTCCCCTGGCATGTGTGGATCCGTGGGTGCCATGGGGGATTCTCCTCTGGAATGCATGGATCTGTAGATGTCATGTGGTATTCTCCCCTGGGATGCATGGATCCGTAGGTTTCATGGGGTATTCTCCCCTGGGATGCATGGATCCGTAGGTTTCATGGGGGATTCTCCCCTGGGATGCATGGATCCGTAGGTTTCATGGGGGATTCTCCCCTGGGATGCATGGCTGACATTGGGGGTTGAAAAGGTTTGAAGTGTCAGTTGTGGGGGAGCCAAACATAAAAGGAGCTAAGGCAGGGAGGGAGAGAAAGTGTGTGTGTGTGTATGTGTTCATGCTGGACTAGAAAAAGTGGGGGAGGAAGGTATGTGTGTTTTTGACTTGATCAGCTGTTGCTCCCATAGAAATAAAAATCGTCTGATTCTGGCAGCCCATTCCCAGGCATGGAGGGAAAGTGGGGAGGAGGAGGGGGAGTGTGTGCATCTTACACACACACATATACATAAACACATACACACAGAGAGGGTTATGGGCATAGTGACAGCTAATGCACGTGACCACACCTACAAGTGCTTGTGTCACCAGAAACATGCCCGTGCACATCATATGATTGACATTTTTTTTAAAAAAAAAAGAACCAAGGGTGGATCGAACACGTTCGAGATTGAGAATCCATTTTGTTGGGGTACAAAAGTAAGTGTGAACTTGAACCATGTTAAATGGACACAGAGGCATTCAATAATGGAAAATGTAGTGTGAACTTCATTCCGTTTCACATTGATTC